TATTTCTTTAACCAAATTCGGTCTGTAAAAATACTGAGTAACTCGTTGAATAGTTTTTAAGCTACCCATGTGGCTTCCTGCTAAAGAGTTATGGAAATATTTAAACACCATGTCTATTAGAGTTTTAGGCAAATAAACTTTTGGTGAACTACACTCCCTCTTTTTATACATTAAAACTCCTTTGTTTAAATAAAAACACAGTTTGTTTTCACCCTTTTCAATGCTCTCAATTATTTGTTTAAGTTCACAGTCTGCTTCTTGGTGCACTTTAAAGTCGGTATACGCTACTGGGAAGTCACTAATAGCATTTATTGACTTTATAATGCCTAAGTCTCGGATTGAGCTCTCATTACTCTCATTACGCTTATTTACAGGTTTCTTTAGCCTAGAATCATTATTTACAACACTACTAAACTCAACTTTCTCAGATTCATTGACAGTACTAAAGATTCTCGACAAATAATCTGCTATGGCGTTATCTTTACCCTTGATATGTTCTATAGTAAAAGGAAGACTAAGCATTACTTCACACCAACGCCCGATTTTTCCTAGTTTCCTAAAGTTTGACAATACCCATGCTAAAGCACTATTATCTGTTTTGAGAGTAAAAGGCTGAATTTCTAGATAAGATCTAAACTTATTTATCGCACACACAACCGATAAAGCTTCTTTCTCGTATACAGATAAACATCTCTCTGCATCATTAAACTTTTTTGAATAGTAAGCTATAGGTTTCATTTTATCACCAAAGTTTTGAAGCAAACAGGCTCCACAGGCTTTATCGCTTGCATCACAATGTAGCGTGAAAGGCTTACTATAATCAGGTATACCTAATACAGGTGGATTTGCAACACTATCTTTAAGCTTATGAAAACTAGCATCACATTCGTCAGACCATATGAACTGTTTGTTTTTCTTTCTTAATTCATTAAGTGGACTTGCAATCTCAGAAAAGTTAGGTATAAAAGATGAAAAGTAAGATACCATTCCAATAAACCTAGAAACTTCTTTAGCATCTTTAGGAGCAGGACAATCTCTAATTGCTTGCGTTCTATCTGGATCAATCGACATAGTATCCTTAGAGATTAAAAATCCTAAATACTTAATCTCCTTAAATACAAACTTTACTTTCTGTGGGTTGACAGTTAGATTGTGTTTACTAAGCCTAGACAAAACTTCGTCTAAGTGTTTGATATGTTCCTCATATGTTTTAGAAAACACAATGACATCATCTACAAAATTAATTACATAAGAGTACTGAATTCCATCAAAAACTTTGTTCAAATATGAACTCAATAAACCAGACCCTAAATGTAATCCATAAGGGATTCTGTTCCATTCATAGCTTGAGAAAGGTGTTGTGAATGCAGTTATATGCTTACTCTCTTCACACAACTTGATCTGATGAAAGCTATTACATAAATCAAGTACTGTAAAATATGTACAACCCTGTAAATACTGACATATCTGATTACAATCTCCAATAGGATAGTTGACTCTTTCTATTTTGTTATTTAACTGACTGTAGTTAATTACAAGTCTAAATTTCTCAGAATTAGGCTTTTTTACTAAGAAGGTAGGACTTGCATAGGGAGATAGTGAAGGTCTTATTATGTTTTGGGAAAGTAGGTCATCTAGGATTTCTTTCATGGCAATCATACGAGGAGGGGATAATGGATAAGTTTTCAGGGATACTGGTATATCATCTTTAAGTTTAAGCTTGAATTCAAAGTCTAAACCTTCTCCAATCTTGTTTGTAAATACATTAGGATATTTAGCAATTAGTTTAGCTACATCCTCCTTAGCTTTATACAACCCTACTTGTACATTTTCATTGATATTACACACAACCTTGTTTGAATTACAAACAAACTCGACTTTACACTCTTTATCAAACTTAAAATGACAGCAATCATTGTTTAGATCTATAATCATACCAGACTTCTTGATAAACTCACTCCCTAGTATTACATTCCAAGTTAGATTCTGACCTACAAAGAATTTTACACTCCACCAAGAATATCTGTGTATTCTTATCTTTACTTCACAATAACACAGAATATTTACATTTGTGTTATTAGCTGACCTACACTCGACTTCAGAATTGTAAACCTTTTTAACTAAACCTTTTGATTGTAAGTTACTAAGCATTCTGTCACTTATTAAGTTAATACTACTACCCGTATCAATCAAAGCATTTTCTATACAGTTATAAGAAAATTCAGCCTTTAGTGTAGGTAACCCATTACTACAGTTAGTGTCAATCTTTAAGTTTAACCAATCATTATTGTTTAGCTCAAATTGATTTGCTTTAAATTTAGATTGTTTCTTAAACTTGCGTCTTTCAAGTAAGTTCAAACTTCTACCAATCTTTTTATTACTGTTCCCCTTGTGAATGTTTCCATGGGATGGAGCCCTGATTGGAGCCTTAACGGGTCCATCCCTCATCACGCGTTTTTTGGCGGACCATTTTTGGAATAGTGAATTTGACTTGAATGAGTATTTTGATCTCGAGTGCGTGATGGGTTATTAATGCGTTTCCTACACTCCCTCGCCATGTGACCATACATACCACAATAGTAACACTTTCTAGTAGCATTAGTATTATGTGTCCAAACCGGTTTACCATGATTACCTGGACTAGACCTTAAACTGCCTCTTCGCGTATCCTCATAGGCAACATTCTGCTCATGTACACACAATAACTCTAGTTCCTTAAAACTAGTGGGAGTTTCTGTTAATGCAAGACGGCTTCTAGTTGATTGATTCAAACCAATTATAATTAGTTTGACAATGTCAAGTTCAGAATACAAACAATTCAACAGTTTAGAATTTTCTCTGATTTCTAAAATGTAACAACTTAGAGGCTCGTAATGCTTTTGTGGTCTATTTACTAGTTCTCTTTTCAGGTTTTCTCTTAACCCTAGAGGTACAAAATAGTTTAACAATAGATTATGTACTTCTTCAATTGAGTGGCCTAACTGCTTAAATTCTACAATTTTACTGTACAGCGGTCCTGTTGTGTAGCCTAGTATTACATCTAATATTTGGAAGTCTGAGAGCTCGGATTCTTTTTTAAGTTTCAGCATGACTTTAATAAAGTTTAGAAGTTCCCTAGCTTCGAGACCATCACAAGATTTTACATTTTTCAAATGTCTCTCAACAGGATTGGGGAGTTTAGCGTACATATTTAACTGTTCATTACAATGGGGCCTCTCATTAGCTTCATTAGAAATATTCAATTTAGACATTACATTCTGTTCAATTTCTTCGTCCTCGGCAAAAGAATCGCTTAATCTACGTTCTATCCTAGATTCAAGGTCTTTATCTACTTCAACTAAACCAAACATTGTTTCACATTCTGATAAGACTACTTCCAACTGCTGAATATCCTTCTTTTGTTCATCGTTAACTTTGAAACTAGATAACACAGTTAACCTTAGTTTGTAATGATTAATCTTGGCTTTACATCTCAACGAATCTACTACCCTCTTCTCTTTTCCACATTCTTCTATTTTTAACTTTAACTCTTCTAAAGCTACTTTAATTGTCTTTATTTCATCGTTTATAACTACCTTTTTAGCTATATTATACGCACTTGGTTCAATATTTAATTTTAAAACAGAACGTAATCGCTTTCTTAGGTCTGCAACAGTTTGATTAGTTTCTAGTTTAACATTCCTAATTGTAAGTTCATATTCAAGTTCTGTTTTAATTAAAAGGTCCACGTGTGCACCCATTTTGGACACAAAATGCACTTAGTCCAGTTTATACACTTTAAAACACATCTTCTTTTGTAATAACTAGATATACTAGGTAGTAAGCAGAGTTGCGCATTTAATTTGTACCGTTTTACTTAAAATGTCTTTTAAACCAGTACAAATTATTTTTAGTGTTCTTGTATAGTTGTATTCACACAGAAATTTAACTATTCAGGTTTTGGTTCTTGTAAATAATCAATAGTCTTTTAATTTCATTCCCATTTATTGACATTTTGCTCTCTGGTAGTTGAACCCTAAAAACAAAAGATATTTTTAATTGCCTGAAGGGCCAAAGTAAATTCTTTCATAAAGCTGAAAATTATTAAATAAAAAGATCACTGCCTGCCTGCACCCTCCGTACTCACAACAATGAATGGAATAATATTGTAAAAATTAAATCTAAGACTTACCCACAAAGGGGACTATGTGCACTAAGCAATTCACATTATACATAACTACTACACTGACCAAATGAGAGCGGGCCACGTGGTCCGACCCCTTTTATAAGCTCGGTTGTGACGTAGGCACTCTGACTATCTTTTCATAGGATCGAACCCTGAACAGCCAATCAGAGAGCTCACGGTGGTTGCAGGCTTACATCACGTCTTGACAAAACTAATAAGTTAACTGCTTTACTAAATGACAAAATTTTAAAATACAAATTTCATAAAATTGTTACACTATTAACTGTGTTTAGTTTGTACGTACTGGAATGTATCGTACATGTAAAAAATAACCAGGAAAAATTTAAAACTCATTGTGAAACCCATCAATACAACACTAGAAACAAAAATAATATAGTTCTACCAAAACCCAACTTAGAAATGTATAAAAATAAGCCCTCATATGCCGGTGTACAGTTTTTAAAGTTAATACCAAATGAAATAAAAGATATTAAGGATAAAAAAAAGTTTAGACAAAAACTTAAAGAATTTTTGATAGAAAAACCCATCTACTCAATAGATGAACTTTTTATGAATGTATACAGCTATAGATAGTTTTATTTTCTGTATTTTTTGTTTAGGTTAAGTATTTGTACATAGTAATTATAAGCTTGACACTATTTATTGTACGTTTTGTACATAATATAAATAAAGATAATTTGAATTTGAATGTTACTTCTTTAGATATGGAGATTGTTAACAAATGTTTTTCATAAACTGTTGTGCTAAATATTTTTGTTGGTGATTCCCAGCGTAGTTTGTGAGTGTAGGTCACTAATACAAGAAATGTTTTCAGATCGTGGCCATGTTTATGCCTGTGGAGACAACCTCAAGGGCCAGTGCGGGGTGGGAAGCACTGTCCAAATGGTGGAGAAACCCACAAGGGTAAGTAGCTGATATTTTCAATTCAATTCAATTCAATTCAAACATTCTTTATTTCATTATTGTTCATGAAATTAGTACATAGAATTGCGTCAAAAATGTTGTCATTTGATAATCAAGTAAGTTTAAGTTAGAGTGAAAACATAGTTGAGTGGCGTGGCTAGAGTGCAGCGGATTTTAAATCATAGTTGTAAGTAGGTACGTCAAAACATAGTGGAGCAGAGAGCGTAGCTGCTACCCATGGGGACGTACGCTAACCTCTCGGCTCCAATATTCTACCCACATTTCTTTACTTTGAGGGTTTGAACAAGGGTCGAACCTTAGCAGTAAAATTGTTTTTTTAAATCTAGTGTTATTTTGTCAGTTAATAAATGCCGCCGTCCTGTTTGGAATCAGAACTAATGTTGTTACAATATTTGAAATTATAACGTGTAATTATTCTTGTCATAAAGGTACAGTGTTCTCCTTAAGGGCGTATATGTTATGTAATGTATATAAGTTATACCCAATATTTGTTTTCTTTTTTACCCAAAAAATTAGAATTAGAAATGTTATGCAGTTAATTATTTGTTATTTAAATGCATTATTTATTTATTAATGAATGGTTATTGATTTATTTAACATCATCACATTAAATTCTCACGACAGGTGATTTGTCTTAAAGTCTAATACTACATTGACAAATCTAAATGATAAAATACAAAATAGATAATGCAATCAATAAGAACTAATGGGAGAAGTAATATCTTTCAAATAGGCTATACACAACTTGCAGATATTCTTCTAGTGAGTAAAATTCTCTCTCCAAAAGAAAACCTTTTAAAGGTAATTTAAATTTAGAGACTGAGGCAATGTTTTTTAATCTCAGTGGGTAATTTGTTGATTATTTTTGGCTACTGAGGAGATAAATGAAAGATTTGAAGCCTATGTTGAACTGGTTTTATAATATTTTTGAATCCTTTGTTATGTGGATGAGATTGTTGACAGTCCATGAATGTGCCGAAATCACTTTTATCCACTAATGCCAATTTGTATAAGAGCTAAAAAAGATAAAAATTTTAAACTAAATAAATAAATCTTTACAATGTGTTCTACATATTAGTAGCCTATAAAAACAGACAAAAGACATTTGTTCCCTAATCTGAGCTATAGGCCTAATATGTCATAGAATCATAGTATGTTACTTTACTGTGTTTCACTATTTTCACAATTTTGTTCACCTTTATGTTGAATTAATCAGGTATAATGTATATTCAAAAGTACTGAAGGCTAAATCAGCCTCTTGACTTGCTACCTTGGCTGCTCCACTATGTGCATGTGAAGCGCCGCTACCATCGGCGGCAAACAAACTCTTAGCTAAGTTATCTGCTTCACTCTAGCCTAGCCGCTCCACTATGTTTTAACTCTTTAGCAATCCCTGGTGGAGGGATTTGTTTATTTGTTACAGGACCCCTTTCGTTGTTTTAATTTAGATTAGGCAATATTTCATAATTAAAGAATTTTTTTCAGCATTTTTTTTACAATACAGTAGACTCCCTCTTATCCGGACACCTTTTAACCGGACATCTGTTTAACCGGACTACACTCGGCGGAAATGACATCTCTTTAACCGGACAATTTTTAGCAGCACATTGGTTTAACCGGACTAGATCAGCAGGAAGTGGGCGGTCCTGAAACAACTGTTCTCGTGGGAAAGATTTGAGACCAGTTATCACATGAATAAATACAATGTTCTCCTAAATTTAAGTTGAATATCACAGTAAATGCTCTGTTTTAACAAGTTTTTGGGGATGTCGGTTTAACCGGAAAAACCGTTATCCGGACTGGCCTCGGTCCCGAGGAGTCCGGATAATAGGGAGTGTACTGTACAATGTTTCAGTTACAATATGTTATAGAATATTTTGAAAGTGACATATAGGCTACAGATAGTTTGTTTAACTAATTAGTAAATTAAATAGATTAACCCTACTATAAAAACCAAAAATAATAATTTACTAACAAATAAAAAAATATGTGTTTGGGTTTCTCATAAAATATTTTACGCCACACTACACAGTTTTAACAAAATTGCCACACAAGGATTGAGTCCAGAAAGCAGCTGTTTGCTGCCAGCTTAATCAAATTGGGTTTCATTTCAGTTTTTACTGGACACCAACCAGCTGATTATATTATATTTGGCAATGAGTGGTTATAAACAAAAAAATAACCTCTAGTTATGAGTAGTTATTGTTAGTCTGTTAGTCGGTGGGAATACATAAGGATTTGTACAGATTTTGTATTGTTAAGTTAGCTTAGAGAGGTATGGCGTAAAATATTGTACGCCACTCGTCCAAAAAGTGTTTACCGGACTCGTATAGTAATCCCACGCTCGACTTCGTCTCGCACGACTGGAACAACCACACTCGTCGGGTAAACACCTATTTTCAGGAATAGTAACGTAGTATACTATTTCCTCAAAGGCTACCAAGAACATTGATTGATTTTAAAAACTTCTACTTTCTTAGTAATTTTTAATAAGAACTTGTGATTTCAAATGTTGACCAACAACAATCAATAATTATTATTCTGGTTTTATACATTTTCATACTAGATTAGATTAGGTTGAAATTCACTAGAAATTTTACAAAGATTTCAGCACTGTTGCCTGATTTACTCTCTTACAATCTTAAGTTTTAGGTCTAATGTTTATTTGTATTGTATAATTGCAGATCAGATATAAGGGACCTCCAATTGTCAAGATTGCTTGCGGGGCTGAGTTCAGTGTTATTTTGGACTGCAAGGGCTTTTTGTATTCTTTTGGCTCTCCTGAGTATGGCCAACTTGGTATGTAAAAGAATCTCAAACTTATGTTGTAATCAGAGATGTGTTGTTAGCCTACCAAAGTTTATTGATTCTCAACACCGATAACCGATACCATTTTGTTTTGATTTTACTCAATTTTATATATGGACTAGCTGAACCCGGCAGACGTTGTCTTGCCTTTGACTATTATTTATTTATTTGACTATTATTTTTTTATTTATTATGCCTTTGACTATAATTTAAGTACCGTTACGTTTAATTTTCAAGATGATCTCGTTCGCATGGCTCAATCACGTCCTGGTTGACGTTCGTTCGCTACGCTCACTCACCTTTAGGTTGGTGCTCGTTCGCTACGCTCACTCACCTTTAGGTTGGAGCTCGTTCGCTGCGCTCACTTGCCTTCAGGTTAGCTCGTTCGCTACGCTCACTTGCCTTCAGGTTAGCTCGTTCGCTACGCTAACTCGCCTCCAGGTTGAAGTTCGTTCGCTACGCTCATTTACCTTTTGGTTGCAAATTAGCTGTTGTCATAAATGTAAAAGAAATAATAGTGCTGCACCCTGTTGGTAATCCTTGTAACTTTAATGCTATTGAACATCATAGAACAGAACCAACTTGTTTAATTGAAACAGCTGTTAAGATTCATTTATTCCATTTCTCATAAGGTTAACATGGGAAACTCCAGAGCCACTGGGGCGGAGCCCTTTTGACTGATCAGCACCAAACTTCACACAAACCTTCCTTGAATAATGCTTAATAATGCCTGAAAGTTTCATTACAATCTGTCGAGCGGTGTCCGAGTTTATCCCTGCCAAACAAACAAACAAATATATATACAAACATCCTCTTTTATACTTATAGATTTGTTATTCTACACCAACCCCTGTCTTTATGTCCTTCCAAATTTAATTTGGTTCAATGGGGTGTTTATCAAGTAGGCCTAAAGAAATAATGCAGCAATGAGAAATCCTAACAAGCTAATTAGGTTAAACTCTTCTAAATGCATGAAATAAATACCCTTTCTAAGGTAAAAGAGGGTATAAAATAAAACAAATAGAACAAGGTCGTGGAACATCATCATCACCGTCTTTCCTGATCTCTGAAAAATTCTGAATATCTTCCTCAGTCACGGAAACATCACTATCGTGGGGGTCACGTAAAAGTTACGAACGTCTTCCATGACCACGTTAAATATTAAATATATCCTGCCGCCATGAGGACATTACCATCGTCTTCGCCGATTGTGGCAAAATCATAAACATATCCCGTGGTCGTGTAGACATTATCATCGTCTTTCACGATCGTGGCATAATTCTGATCATCTCCTGCTGTTATGTAGGCATCGTCATTGTCTTCCAGATTTATGATAGTGTCTTAATAGTCATGCACGATCGTGGCAATCGCAGCCAATCTGTATGGGTTTTTGACAATTGATACCGATACTTATTTCCAAGTATCAGTGGTATCGACACATCCCTAGATGTGATGTAAATATTTGTAATTGTCTTATAACAGAAATTTTCTGAATTATTATGTAGGCCTAATACTGTCACTTGTGATTTAGGCATGAGCTATGAGTAGGTCTACCTCTTAGGCCTAATATAATTAACTGATGTTAAAAGAATAATAATTGGTAGTAGACTTAACCTATGATCTTTAAAATTTCAACTGTATTTTTTGGGATTTCGTTTAAAAATATATGGGTGTTTTCATACAAACATTAAGACTGCAACTCTGAAAACTGTTTTTAATTTTAAAAATTTGTTGAAATGTTACTAAATGTCAAATGTTGTAATGTTGTAGCTCATTCATTAGTTGTACATTGCATTACTTTTCATGAAATTTAAATGGGAATCTATAGGCTTAGATGCTATCATCAGTGATAATTGTGACATAACAGCTGTTGTGTATTAATTATTAGTATTGTTTGTTATGGTTTGTGTTTACATTAGTTGAATTTCTTGAAAATAAAATGGACTTTATTAGAAAAGTATTCTGTGCGATACAACTTTATTACTGGTGGCAGCGGTCAAAATATTAAGGTAATATAAAACCATATAGCTATTATTTCATCCTAGAACAGCACATTATGGATTTGAAAGCCCCACCACCTTGTTGTTATAGATTTGAACAAGAACACTTGATGAATGGGCTAGATTCAAGCAAAAGTTCTTTTTGTATTTAGAAGCTACTGAGAAATCTAAAAAGCCCGATAAAACTAAAGTTGCCTTACTCCTTTGTTTAAAGGGGAATGATTGTTTGGACATTTTTAATAACTTCAAACTAGAAGATACAGATAGGGATAATTTAGATAATGTTGTTCAATCTTTTGATTACTAGAGAAAAGATGAATACAACAAATGCTGAATCTGTTACCAGCAGTTTAACTCAAATCTTCAGAACACATGGATTGCCAAAAAGATCCACTAGGATAATGGCCCTCCCTTTGACAGCCTTAACCCTCCGAGTGTTATTTGTCGATGCTTCGATACATAACACACTTTGTGTAGTGTTTTGTGTCGATGCATTGACTCACAAACACTGTTTACGGCGAAGGCTCTATGACTGACAAAATCGGATTGAACTGGATCGAGTTAGGTATCGTTTTATTTGGCAGATTCAGAGCTTTCTCCGGAGGTCTGTCTCTAAGCGCTTTTCATTTTAGTTCCGAAAATATTGTAGCAGACAGCTGACGTGCGTATTTGTAAACAGCTTGGTTAACCTCGGACCGATGACTGATGTGTTTTATTACGTTTATCATTGTTTTAGTGTTAAAAATCAAAAGTAGTGATATACGTGGTGCATTATAAGAAGATTTAAGTGATTTTGAAGGGCTGGTTGATGATCCTGAAGAAGTAGGTAGTGATATTGATGTAAACTATCAGCGAGATTCCTAGCTATGGTTAGGCTATGCATTCTTAGCTAAACGCTATGTACTGCAATCTGTTTTTGGCCCATAACTTATTTATTTGCAAATCTACTTCCTTATATTATTATATATTTGTAATCCTCATAAAATTTAGAACAAAGTGGCTATTTTCAAATATTTATAGGCCTATAATTTATACAATTTCATTGAGCGCAAACTTATTTTTTTTTTGAAAATTTCCCAAAATATTTTTTTTACCTAAAAAAATTTTTTGAAACTAATGTTCCTTATGTTTTATGTATAATATTGAAGCCCATGATTTTCCAAACAAAATGGTAAATATAACAGTATAATTAACATTGTTTTCAAGCTTCTCAGATCCGTTTTAATAAAACCTTGCAAATGAGCAAAAAATATGCAGACATTAAGGCCAAAACAAGGGACACTCGGAGGGTTAAGTTTTCTGCCTATGTGAATAATTACCAGATAAAACATGAAACATCTTCTCCATACTACCCCAAATCAAACGGAATGGTAGAGAGAGCCATCCAAACTCTAAAATCTATGCTTATAAAAACTATGAATTCCAAAGGAGATTTGAATGTAGCAGTTGTAGATTATAATAACACTCCCAAATATCATCTGAAAGCTCCTGCTCAGATGTTGATGGGAAGACTATTGAAAACTGTCATTCCAGTACCAAAAGAAGTTCTCAAACCCTTTTTCCCTACTACTGATACAATTCAAACTCTTAGAAAAAAACAGGTAGAACAGAAGAATTACTATGATAAGAATTCTCACAGTCTCAAGGAACTTAAAGACAATCAAGCTGTTTATGTACAGAATGGGAAAAGAGATTGGGTCCAAGGAAGAATTTTGAAGAAACATGAAATGCCAAACTCGTATATTGTTGAAACCGAAGGTGGGACCTATAGGAGGAACAGAGTTCACCTCAGGCCAGCATACGGACATAATTTTCAAGACAGCAAGAGAAAAGAATCTGAAATTGTGGAAGTACAGCAGAAAAGGCCTACAAGAACTTCCAAGCCTCCAACAAAATACAAAGACTTTGTTCCTAAAAAAAGGGGCATGTGACATAACAGCTGTTGTGTATTGATTATTAGTATTGTTTGTTATGGTTTATGTTTACATTAGTTGAATTTCTTGAAAATAAAATGGACTTTATTAGAAAAGTATTCTGTGCGATACAACTTTATTACTATAATGACAATCTTAGTTGTCTTTATTTTCAGAATGGCAAGTGACAGAACATGTTTCAATAAAGAGTGTGTGCCCAAACATCTAGTTTCAAAGTTTTGTAGGCTCCATAATACTAATAAAATAAAATTTGAGGATTCTACTTTTTTCATGACTTGAAATATTTCTGCAGCAATTTTGCGCATTGCTAAAATCATCCTTTGATGGGTTCTTTTGATAAACAAGTGAAACTGGGCTATACATTTTTAAAGCACAGTTAGTTATAATACTCTCTTTTTCAGGCCACAACACCACTGGAGAGTACATCCAGTCTTCAGGCAAGGTGAACTACCAGTTTGAGAAGGCTCCCAAGATGTTGGTGCACTACATTGAGAAGAACAAGGACCATGTCACTCCCATGCAGGACGTTGACATTCGAGACATTGCTTGCGGCACCAACCATACGGTAATATACAAATTATATTGTCTAGTTGATATTAATTTTCAGTTTTAGTTCGGCATTTTCAGTGCCACAAAGGATTTTCTAGGTTGTCATTTCTTGTCAAATACTCTTCAAGATTTAGTCTCTGTTGCACAAATTGTAGATCTCGTGTATGAAATATGAAGCTTAACACACTCACTCCCATGTGGAGAGAGACCTTAATATGGAGGAGTGTGCCGGCTGGGACTGAACCTGTTAAATTCATCAAGCTTGTAATTAGTGTTCAGACTCCAAACAATTAGAGCACATTTTTAACATGTTTGCTCCTACGTGCAGAACTGGTGGTGAACAAATTGGATTTTGATCAGAAGTAAAAAATGCATACTAAATACCACAGACATAAAAAAAGCATGTTCTTAAGAATAATACGAGGGATAAAAGAGAACTAATCTATTTTACATTCAATGTGAGCTTTTATGATTATTGAGCCGCTGGCGCTAAACACAAACTTGGCTTCAGACAGTGACGATACACACAGCCAAGGAGTTTGGTGTTTTATAAACCTGATTTTTTATTTGATTTGAATGCATTTTTGTAAATTTCTCATATTTAAAACAGTTTTATGGTGTAATAAATAGAAGCACGTCATTGGACTATTTGGTTCTTAACTTTCTTCTAAAATACATAGCAAAACCACCCGCAGAAACTCCAAAATTCCAGTTTGTAGTACAATCACCATAGTAACCATGTCCAGTGGTGGCGAATGTCGGGGTTTTAGGGATCATTGTATGTTAGTACACTTCAAGGTTATGAAAATTGCGAAAGTGTTAAATGTTTGGTGATTATTGAACGAGATTGGAAACTCCTTGATATGTTTAATACTACCTTGTATTTTATCCAAAGCTTGAACCTTGTTCTGTTAAACAGATTGCCCTGGACTCCAAAAAGAGAGTGTTCTCCTGGGGGTTCGGAGGGTACGGACGCTTGGGTCACTCAGACCCTAAAGATGAAATAGTGCCCAGGCACATCAAGTTTTTTGAAACTCAGGGGAAGGGAATCAAATCCATCTACTGTGGTTCCAGCTTTAGCATCTGTATCAATGACTTCAGTAAGTGTTAAGTGAATTCTTAAGTAGGCCTAGACTTATTAGGCAATAGATTCTTCTAGGGATGGACGGGTCCCGAAATTTCGGGAATTTTTCGGGAAAAAAAATATTCCCGATTATCGGGATGGGATTACATTTGATTCGGGAATTTTTCGGGACGGGATTTGGTCCGATCGTCGGCGATTTTGCCACTGTCGATCATGCCGTGACCGAGAGTCATACCGACGTTCATCCCGTGACCGCGAGTCATACCGACGATCGCACCGTGACCGTGGAGTCCTACCGACGATCGCGCCGTGATCGCGGAGTCCTACCGACAATCGGGCCGTGACCGCGGAGTCATAACGACGATCACGACGTGACCGTGGAGTCCTAGTCAAGTCAAGTCAAGTCAAGTCAAAATAAACTTTATTCGTATGAATACATTGCAGCATCAGAATAGAGTCACATATAACTAAAAATCCCATACTTTCATGCTATATAGCTAAAATACAATATATTTAAAACTATATATAAAACCCAGGCAACCAGTAGTGGAGCCCTCACTTAACGAAACTCCGAAAAAGAATACCTACCGACCTATCGTCCTACCGACGATCGCGTCGTGACCGCGAGTCATACCGGCGATCACCTTGTGACCGCGGAGTCATGCCGACGATCACGACGTGACCGTGGAGTCATACCGACGATCGCAACGTGACCGCGAGTCATAACGAAGATTGCGCTGTGACCGTGATTATTGGACCAACGATCGCACCGTGACCGCGAGTCATACCGACGATCGCGCCGTGACCGCAAGGCATACCGGCGATCACCCTGTGACCGCGGAGTCATACCGACGATCGCAACGTGACCGCGAGTCATAACGAAGATCGCGCTGTGACCGTGATTATTGGACCAACGATCGCGCCGTGACCGCGGAGTCCTACCGACGATCGCGCCGTGACCGCGGAGTCATACCGACGATCAAGACGTGACCGTGGAGTCCTACCGACGATCGCAACGTGACCGCGAGTCATAACGAAGATCGCGCTGTGACTGTGATTATTGGACCAACGATCGCACCGTGACCGCGAGTCATGCCGACGATCGCGCCGTGACCGCAAGGCATACCGGCGATCACCCTGTGACCGCAGTGTCATACCGACGATCGCAACGTGACCGCGAGTCATAACGAAGATCGCGCTGTGACCGTGAGTCATAACGAAGATCGCGCTGTGACCGTGATTATTGGACCAACGATCGCGCCGTGACCGCGGAGTCCTACCGACGATCGCGCCGTTACCGCGGAGTCATACCGACGATCGCGCCGTGACCGCGGAGTCATACCGACGATCAAGACGTGACCGTGGAGTCCTACCGACGATCGCGCGTGGAGTCCTACCGACGATCGCGCCGTGACCGCGAGTCATACCGGCGATCACCCTGTGACCGAGGAGTCATACCGACGATCACGACGTGACCGTGGAGTCCTACTGACGATCGCGCGTGGAGTCCTACCGACGATCGCGCCGTGACCGCGGAGTCATACCGACGATCAAGACGTGACCGTGGAGTCCTACCGACGATCGCGCCGTGACCGCGAGTCATACCGGCGATCACCCTGTGACCGAGGAGTCATACCGACGATCACGATCGCGACCGCGAGTCATACCGACGATCACGACGTGGAGTCCTACTGACGATCGCGCGTGGAGTCCTACCGACGATCGCGCCGTGACCGCGGAGTCATGCCGGCGATCGCGCCGTGACCGCGGTGTCATGCCGACGATCGCGCCGTGACCGCGGAGTCATGCCGACGATCGCAACGTGACCGCGAGTCATAACGAAGATCGCGCTGTGACCGTGATTATTGGACCAACGATCGCACCGTGACCGCGAGTCACACCGACGATCAAGACGTGACCGTGGAGTCCTACCGACGATCGCGCCGTGACCGCGGAGTCATACCGACGATCGCGCCGTGACCGCGGAGTCATACCGACGATCGCGCCGTGACCGCGGAGTCATACCGACGATCGCGCCGTGACCGCGGAGTCATGCCGACGATCGCGCCGTGACCGCGGAGTCATGCCGACGATCGCGCCGTGACCGCGGAGTCATGCCGACGATCGCGCCGTGACCATGAGTCATACCGACGATCACGACGTGACCGTGGAGTCCTACTGACGATCGCGCGTGGAGTCCTACCGACGATCGTGCCGTGACCGCGGAGTCATACCGACGATCAAGACGTGACCGTGGAGTCCTACCGACGATCGCGCCGTGACCGCGAGTCATACCGGCGATCACCCTGTGACCGTGGAGTCCTACCGACGATCGCGCGTGGAGTCCTACCGACGATCGCGCCGTGACCGTGAGTCATACTGTCGATCATGCCGTGATTGCGAGTCATACCGACGATCATGCCGTGACCGCGGAGTCATGCCGACGATCGCGCCGTGACCGCGGTGTCATGCCGACGATCGCGCCGTGACCGCGGAGTCATGCCGACGATCGCGCCGTGACCATGAGTCATACTGTCGATCATGCCGTGACCGCGAGTCATACCGACGTTCATCCCGTGACCGCGAGTCATACCGACGATCGCACCGTGACCGTGAGGCACAAGTTTCTATAGGTATATTGTTACCCATTTTTTTGGTTTTTATAGATCAGTACCACAAACGGTAAAAATTGATTTTGTATGTCTTTTTTGGTAACTGCAATACTCAAGACTTTCTTTTTATGCACAGAAAAAATCCCGTCCCGTCCCGTCCCGAAAATCGGGAAGGAAATAAAATTCCCGTCCCGTCCCGTCCCGAACTAAAAATTCAATCCCGTCCATCCCCAATTCTTACCAATAAAATCTATTTTTTTGCAAGTTTTGAAGATTGAATTCCATGTTGTGTCAACGACATGATTAAACTGGGATAAGTGTATATGTATGGACTTATCTATCTCATTAGGCCTAGTGTTAATCACAGTAAAACCCGGACAAACTGAAATAAAAGGGCAAATTAGTTTTGGATAACCTTTTTTTTATAGTTGTAGCTAGCTATTTTGATTTAAAGAGATCTACAACAGTAGGCCTAGTATATTTGCTGTTATGTTACCAGATCCATAGTTTATATCGTTGTTATTTCTGTAGCATATTTATATAGCATAAGTTGTCAGTCTTTGTTATTCTTATTTAATTAGTTTATCTGTCCTTGTTATCTATGTCTAGTCTTTTGTCTCCACACCTTAATTTAGCCATTCCTTATTAACTTCCTTTTTGTCAATATCTTACATCTAGACTGTTAGTTATACATTCCACCACCTTGTATAGAACACATATTGGATTATTGGATTGCAGTTGATAAATAAATAAATACATAGTTTTTAGCATTATTTTAGTTTTTCTATGTACTAAAACTATATTTTGTTTTTGTATAATAATCGACTATTCTTTTCTGAACTTTGGTATGAGATTAGATTTAGTGTCACTTCCTGCTGTATTGCCCAAGCTGGGCCATCTGTCCAGCTCCTATTGCCTAGCTAAATTTTAATTTTACCATACGGGGCAGTTAAAAGAGGTTTTACTGTACAACTACGGCAAAAGCAATTACACATAAAATCATGTTGCTGATCTCTTGATTGGTGCTGTGATTGTATTGTATCTGTAGGAAAACTCTTGTTTTTTCACCGCTCCATGATGTTCAACTTAAAACTTTTTTTAAATTTGCTTTGTTGTATCTGTTGGTTACTAATTAGTAACTAACAGTGTAAGCAGTTCTCCAATAGAGCTGTGCTTAAAGATGAACAAAATATGCCCAAATAATGTGTCTGTGCAATATTGTATATCAAAATTTCAAATTTGGCCTGCTTGAAATCAAAGTATATTGATGTGAGTGTTTACTGATCAGAAGCCAGGGCCGGTTCTAGGAATTTTTCAGAGTTAAGCGAACATCCGAATCAGTGCCACCTAGAATCCCCCCACCCCACCCCCCCATGAACATAACTTAACCCTATTTGTGAAATTTTTGGGAAGAACTTTTTTATAAGTTTAGGTTAGAAGAATACTTGCAATTAGAGACTTTTTTCAACTATACTGTTTATTATTCACAGAAATTTAACATTTTTGCACTTTTACTAAATTGCAGAATAAATTGGAGATGTGATGGTTAAAAAATTCTTGTGGATAAGTGGGATATACACTTTAGCAAAACCCAAAGTTAAAAATGTATTTCTAAATGTGAAATCAGTTTTTACAGGATAATTTGGATACAATATAAGTTTTTATAAAGCCTATTATAATCAAAAACAGTAACGGTATACAACTAAGAGTGCAAAACAAAACAACGTAGTGCTCTGCTCTAGGATGGGAGAGTGATCAGGGGTAGAAGGGAGGGGGAAGTTTCTTGTTGTGGTGCTGCACGCTTATCTCGAGCATGAGTCATGAAATGAAACCCACGGGCGCCACGCTGTACGCTGCCGAACGTCAGCTCACTACAAATCGAAACTGCAAATCAATGCCTTGAGTCCTTGAGTTGAAGTGCTGTACAAGTATACACATTTTCTAAATGCTGTTGGTACAAACAGAATAAATGCCTTTGGTTTGGTGCTTTGGATACTTGAACTCTGAGAGAAAAAAACAAAATTAAGTTGTTCACTTGTCAGTAAAGTTGTTTCCAATTTTGTATCCTGAAAAAAATTGTGTCCCGTTGGTGCCACTTTTTCGTGGCGCCATATGCGACCGCGTAGGTCGCGTATGGGTTAAACCTGCCCTGTCAGAAGCAACTAACTACATAAAAGTGGAAAATGCTGCTGGGTTGTTCTCAAATTCAAGGCAAATTTGGGGATCGGAAAAAAAACAAAAAAAATTTTTTTTTACAATCATTTATTTATTAAATTAAAAGAAATATCCCTTAATAAGAATGTCCCTTATTAAGAAATGTCCCTTAATAAGAAAACAAAGATGGCTGAGCTTAATTCTAACATTTTTTGTTAAAATTATACAATTTTCTTTCAGGATGTCATGC